CTGCCCTTGCCGCCTCCTCCGACTGAAAGAATGAGCTTCATTTTAGAATACTGCGGCTTCAGTTGCGCAAAGGCCCGCAGGCAGCCGTTAGTGCCGTCGACGGGCATTTGTGCATCGGCCCATTCGTCACTGAGCTGTTATTGAAAGCATGTCCCGTCAGCGAGATCAGCTCCTCACAATAGGGGGAGAGGACTGGTTACATAAACGGTACCATCTTCTTTAACCCTGTGAACGAAGAAAGCAGGCTGGTTAACAACTGTCTCTGTGCATGGACTGGGACTATCAGCATGGTGCCGACTTGAGGTTACTAGTACCATGCAAACGCGTAGAAGATATGAGAAATGAAGCCCAATCGAAGGGCCGACGGAGGCTGTTTCCGGTATATCCTCCAATTGGGATAATAGGCAGCGTTCAAGAAGAAGGGCACCTCGTAGGAACTATTACTGGAGCGTTCGGCCGCTTTGCGCCGCCAGTGCGGAAAGAGGGAGGAGCCGGAGAACATGGCCAGCAGTGGTGGAGGAGGGGGAGGGGAACAAGGGTGCAGTAGAACTAAAGGGGGAAAGGATTGATTCTCCGAGACCCAGGATGTGAGGTCAAAATACAGAAAAATAAGCTTAAGATCGTGATGCGAGGATTAAAGATGGAACAAGCCCCAGAATGGCCAGCGTCACGTGTGGGAGTGCTTGTTGGTTTTGGTGATGCGAATTGGGGACTTTTTGATTTGCTCCCCCCACGCGAGTATGGAGAAGGTAAGGGATCGTACGATTAGTGTGGCAGTGGATGCTTTCTTTTTCTTCTTTTTGTTCTGCTGAGGTCTTGAGCAATTTAAACCCTCTGATCTGCAGCAGGAGCAGCAGGAGCAACGGGAGAGAGACACTGCAACGGAGCTGATGATGGATGGACTGGCAGGAAGGAAAGAAGGCAACCAGGATGAACCAGCAGCATCAGCATCAGCGACAGCAACAGCAACAACAATGACAACAACGAAAGCTGCTTCTTTCGTTCCTCCGCCAAACCACGTACAACCACTTGAGTCGACCCGACGCAGTGGCTACATCAGTATCATCCCGCTCTTTTCATGATCCAGGTACTTGGCTTTTTCTACAACTACCCTTCCCTGTACCCTACCACGTACTACTCACGTACGTATTCTCGTTTCTAGGGTTGCAATGCGGCCGATTTGCAGGCAACATCCTGTGCAGCTTTGTCATGCAGGCTGCTAAGGTTAGGGGCCTATTTCGGTCGGATCCCCCTCCTTCATCAGCAGTGACCTGGGCTAGTCAATCAGATCAACGTCCGACGATGGGAGCATCTGATGATGACCAGCCACAGCCCCAGACACGGTCCAAACGTTGTCACCCCGCCTTTTGCTGTCCCAGGTTCCCAGGTCGGAGGAGCAGATCAAGCGATCGTGTTGATCATTGGCCGCCCCGGAACGTTCTCCCTCTTCATCTGGTGTACCAGCCAGAGGACGCGGCTGGCTAAGGTTTGTTTTTAAGGCCCGGGTCTTACCCTCTCGATACTCTCCGGTGAGATCCTGGTGCTTCGAGACCTCGCAAAAGTCCAATGACAGTGGCGTCTGTCACTAAGCCTTCTTTCTCCAAAACCCGAATAGCTCGCGATGAGATTATAGACTCGTCGCACGGGACTATTGATTCTGACTGAGGAGAGGTCAATTCAGCGATCGACTGCTGATGCCAATATATCCAGAGCAAATGCCGGGATGTATCAGCATTGCAGCGATTGGCCACAATGGGGGAGATGCTCAGTAATCCTTATAAAGTATTCGCTCGGTTGTTCCGGATCGGACTGGGGGATCGACTGGGTTGAAAAATGCAGTTTTTGCCCACTATTTTCTTATGGCTGCAGTTAGAGTTCCCACCGTCGTTGCTTTTTTTTTTTTTTTTTTTTTTTTTTTTTTTTTTTTTTTTTTTTTTTTTTTTTCTTTATTATTATTTTTCTTCCCTTTTGCACTCTCGTCTGAGGGAAATGTTGGTTGTGGGGGAGACGCAGCCGCGGACGACTAACCTGTAGGACTAGTGACGCCCCATCCCCGCATGAAGGACCGCGACTCAATTACCTTGATGCTGAGTGGGAGACCTTTTCACCCATACTGAATGTGCATCTGATCCCCGAGCGAATAGGCACCGAGAACGAGGAGGGGTGAGACAATCCTCGGGTTCTTAGCGTCAAGTACACTTTTTCTCCGGCGCGTTACTCGCCAGCGACAGGAGCCGCTCCGGAGCGCCGACAACCGCGCCGGTATTGTTGGTGAAGCTATTCACTACAAGAAAAGAAGAAGATGGATAAAAAAGGGAGGAGGAAGTATAGGAGCATTGAGGTTGTGCTGCTCACCGGACTGGGTTACTCCCCGGGCTATTCCCCAGTCCCAAGTTACACTGTACAACATGCATCCTTCTCGCAGTCGAGCAGGGAGTCGGGCCTCAGACCCATCGAGCAACGGACCATGTGATCTCGTAAGTTGTAGGAATGCTCGTATGCAGGGGCAGCCAGGCTTGCCTGCGCCTGGGAAACGTACCCATTGGCCTGCTGCAACTGGGCCCGGCGCTCCCCCAGGCTGCCGTCAACCATCAAGGAAAGACGGGGTACGTCTCGCTGCAGCATGGATGGCTGACTGTGCCCAAACAAGGGCGGGGAATAAGCATCGACGAGGGATCCCTTTTGAACAACCCGATTTTAATGTAGAAGTAACTAGTAGATGCTACTCGATTTACGCTCTTCTGCTCTTCAGCTCTTCATGCGTTCTACCAATATTTACATCATAAATGGTTCGATGGACTTCCACAATGGGATTGCTGAATAAGCATGCTGTATTTGCCACCGCCTTCCTCTTTCAACATACTGGCCTTTCAAGGCTCCGAGTCGCTTGTCTGGACTCATCCGTTGCCGACATATCATTCATCATCCTTCAAGTCTGCTCTCTTCCATATGCTAAGTGCTTGAGGGTGCCAAACACTTTGCAAGGCAATAGGGCACTAATTGGGTCTTTATCCTAGCCCACCCCAGTCAACTGATTGACTGCAAACAAAGCAAGGACCTCCGCTCAAACGTGTCGACGAGCGAAAAGCTCCTGCTCTACCTCTCTATCCTTCCTAGTACGCTCTTGTCATTCAACACAAAACCAATCAACATGACGGCAGACGTGAGCCATGCAGCATCACGCGTGCTCACCTCCAACAGCCCCCGCGACCCGAGCTTTGATGACTTCTCCTTCGTCCCCTTCCTCCGCCAGAGCTACGGCTTCGGCCTCGCCAGTGATGTACCCGTCTGCAAAGCCTACAGCGAAGGTCACTGCCCTCTGGGACCAGCCTGTCCCGATCGCCACCCGACCCCATCGCGTGTCACCACGTCGACCACCACCGCGTCGGGACTAGCACCGTCAACCACACATGGGTCGCTGGTTTGCAAGCATTTCCTCAAGGGACTCTGCAAAAAGGGTCTCAAGTGCGAGTACCTTCATGAATACAACCTCCGCCGCATGCCGGAATGCCAGTCCTTCTCGCGGTCCGGCTACTGTCCCAATGGCGATGACTGCCTGTATCAGCACGTGCGGGAGCAGGCGCGTCTGCCCCCCTGTGAACACTACGACCGGGGATTCTGCGAGCTGGGACCCCTGTGTGCCAAGCGGCATGTTCGTCGGCGCTTGTGTCAATACTACTTGGCTGGGTTTTGTCCGGACGGCAAGGCCTGCGTGGATGCTCATCCCCGGTGGTCGGAGAACCTCCCCCGTCCGCAGATTCGGGTCGAGAAGACCGAAGAGGAGCTGGAACGGGAACGGGCCTTGATCCGGGAGGAGCAGGAGAAGGAGAAGGAGCGTGAGAGGGAATGGCGGAGTGAGCGTGGTCGCGGTGGAGGCTTCATGCGGGGTCGGTATCGGGGGCGTGGACGCGGATAGAAGAAGGAGAAAAAGATGATGATGGTGGCAGGGAAGAGGGGTTGGTTGTATTCGTTTTGCAGATTTGAGTTTACAAAATCGTCGAGATACCCAGCTGAGAGGCATGTTTACACTTATTTTACATGGTTAGATCTATCAAGGTTGCATTTGGATTGTCTTTGTCGTGTATGTGAGGATACATAGTAGGGAGACAGATTATTGAATGAAAGAATATGCGATAAGAATGATATGAAGCAGAGCTGATGCTTTAGCTTGATTGGGTATATGGTGTCCATCATAGACATCGGGACAATCTAATATGGGGCTGGGTACGGGAGTCGATGGACGGTCTAGCCAGACCGTGCACGGATTTCCGCTACTCAATTGCCAACTACTTAGGTTACTGTGTAGTGTGTACACTGGAGATAGGGCCAAGCAAGCGTCAGCAGCAACCCCTGACAAACAAAGAGAGAGCAGCTATTTCACAGTAGGAGTGTGAGAGACATTCTATTAGTTGATAGTGATTAGGTGCTATCCAGATGACATCATGACTATCAGCCCACAGAACAAGCAGATGCCCCTAGTTAGCAACTGGAAGATGAGAAAGAATATTGTCAGGATCATCTAATCTTCATCAGGGGCCCTTTCAATTCCCAAAAAGAGGAGGGATCAAACCCGTGCCGCCAAAGGTGTCTCCATTGCTTGCTCCCACGGGGAGGAGATGAGAGGAGGGGCTTATGAGATGGTGAATAAGAGATCGTTCAGCGCCAGTCGAGTCCATCCGAGCTCCATTTGTCAATGATCCGTAAGGCTCCACATTCACGATTGATTGGATAGCATCACGCCGAGTGGCTCCGGAATTCCACTTTTAAGTACCTCCAGACCAATCATCGTGCCAGGGAGAAAGGGTCCGTACGGGAACAGGCGAACGGTAGTAATCGATTACGGATGCTTGCCAAACGCTGAGTGAGAAGAAGCTGCTTTGAGTTGCGGAGCTCCTCAACCACAGTACCTTGTCCTTCCCCCCCCCCCTTTCCCTCTCGAGGCTATAAAGTCTGGCCACCATGGCCGGACCCATTTGCTTGTCTTCTTTTTCTCTTCATCAGAAGTAACCTCGTCCTCTGTGCCTTTCTTCTCTCCCAGGTTCACCCCACCACCCCACCATCACCATGGCTCCCAAGATCGCTATCGTCTTCGTAAGTGATATCCCACCGTTTGGTGACCTCCACAAATTGGAAATTCGCATGACTAATGGGCCAATTGATTACAGTACTCCATGTACGGCCACATCCTCAAGCTGGCCGAGGCTGAGAAGAAGGGTATTGAGGCTGCTGGCGGTTCCGCCGACATCTTCCAGTATGTCAATAGCTGCGACTGAAGTTCATCGCAATTGTCCCGGTGACTAACCTATACCGTCTAGGATCGCCGAGACCCTCTCCGACGATGTTCTGGCTAAGATGCACGCTCCCCCCAAGTCCAGCTACCCCATTGCTGAGGCCAACACCCTCCTTGAGTACGACGCCGTTCTCTTCGGTATCCCCACTCGCTACGGTAACTTCCCCGCTCAGTGGAAGGCCTTCTGGGACCGCACTGGTGGTATCTGGGCTTCCGGTGGCTACTGGGGCAAGTACGCCGGTCTCTTTGTTTCCACCGGTACCCAGGGTGGTGGTCAGGAGTCCACCTGCCTTGCTGCCATGAGCACCCTCGCCCACCACGGTTTCGTCTACGTCCCTCTCGGCTACAAGACCGTCTTCGCTCAGCTGTCCAACCTCAACGAGGTTCACGGTGGTAGCGCCTGGGGTGCTGGTACCTTTGCTGTAAGTTTTTCTCCCAAGGACTGACACCGGACCGTTTCTATTGGCGACAATATACTGATGACTTTTCTTTTCACAGGGTGCCGACGGCTCCCGCCAGCCCAGCGCTCTCGAGCTCGAGGTTGCTGAGGCCCAGGGCAAGGCCTTCTACGAGCACGTTGCTGCCCACAACTTCGCTTGACTACATGGTAGCGAGCAGGCAAAGTCGGAGTCGCAGCCTGCGGCGGCCGCAGCAGCGTCGCAAAAGCAGACAACTCAGACTCCGAAATCCCAGCCTGCGCCAGCCAAGAACGGTCAGGGCACTCAGGGAGCGAGTGATGCAGACAATAGTAACGAGGGACCATGTGGTTTGCCTAAGAAGTGCACCATTATGTGAATCGATTTACATTGATACCCTGCAGTTTCATTCGTGCCTTGCTTTGCTTTGACCGGGTTGGATTGGATACTGGCGTTTAATTCGGAGGACTGGGTCTCTTGTTGTTGTGATGCTATTTCCTTATTATAAATAGAACAGAGTCATAATAAATAAATATACATTTATAAATCTATATGAATATACCATTCTTGACTTAGAAGTATGTGTAGTCATGAATAAGCTATGGATGCGTTGACGAGGGAAGTATCTGGATTACCAAAGATACGCCATTTGTCAGCGAAGAAGAGACGGCGGGGTGGTACCAGGCGGTAACGGCCTGCAATGACGATAGAGCTCCGCTGCCGCCTTAATCGGCTCTCCTCCAAGCTCTCTCAACTCTCTGTCTCTCTCTTTCGTTCAACTTCTCTCACCTCTCTTCCCCTCCCGCCCACTGCCATGATCTGATGAGTTTGATGAGTTTGATGTGTTACTTAAGCTGCACAAACATTGATTCAACTCTACTATTCAGTCCAACCCTTTCTTGCTAGGGTGTCACCACTATGGCGTCACGCACGATCGTACTGAGGTTCGAAAGCCGCAACGGCCAGTTTCGGTTGACGGTCAACCCGCAAGAACTATTCCCGTCTCTGCAGCCACAGGTGTGCATCCTGTACCTTATGGCGTAATACTCAAAGCTCGAATGAGTGCTTATATGCCCTCTTCTAGATCCTAGAACGCCTCCCTCCGAACGTCGATCCCGCATCTATCACCCTCTCCAACCGGCCCATCGGCACCGGTGGTGAAGAAAGACTTCTTAACAGCTTAGATGGCGTGGGTTTGGACAAAGTTGGCTTGAAGTAAGTTGAGACCCGCATGTTGGACAGACTCTGCGCCGATTCAAGTTACCTGTCACAGCTACTGACACTGCTCGGTTCTTTCCTTTCAGGCACGGCGATAAGCTCTTCATCGGGTACCAAGAAAACCAAGGACAGCAGAATGGCACAGCCAACGGCCACATAACCCCCAGCGCAGGTGAAGCTTCGCGACGTCTAAATGGAGCTCCCGTGCCCCAAAGCGAAACGGTAACCTTCCGCCCTCCGCAGCCGAGCTCGCCTACAGCCACCATCAAGAACCCTTGGGACGTGGTGCAACAATCGCCGCTAGATGATATGCTGGACAAGAAGGATGGGAAGATCAAGCGAGGCCTGGATTCGAAGTTCTGCCGACACGGCCCCAAGGGAATGTGCGACTACTGCATGCCGCTCGAGCCCTACGACCCCAAGTATTTGGCGGAGAAGAAGATCAAGCACCTCTCGTTCCATTCGTACCTGCGCAAAATCAACGCCTCGACCAACAAAGCCGAACTCAACAGCTCGTTCATGCCCCCGCTTAGTGAGCCGTATTATCGGGTACGGCGAGACTGTCCCTCTGGACACCCGCAGTGGCCGGAGGGCATTTGCACCAAGTGCCAGCCGAGTGCGATCAGTCTGCAGCCTCAAGAGTTCCGGATGGTGGACCATGTGGAGTTCTCTTCGCCAGATCTCATCAACTCGTTGCTCGACTTTTGGCGGAAGTCGGGCGCCCAGCGGTTAGGGTTTCTCTACGGTACCTATGAGGAGTATAAGGAAGTTCCGCTGGGTGTGAAAGCCGTGGTCCAGGCCATCTATGAGCCACCGCAAGTGGATGAGGTGGATGGAGTTACGCTCCATGAATGGCCCAACGAGAAGGAGGTGGACGAGGTTGCACATCTATGTGGTTTGGAGAGGATTGGCGTGATCTTTACGGACCTACTGGACGCAGGTAGTGGAGACGGTTCGGTGATCTGCAAACGACACATAGACTCCTACTATCTGTCCTCCTTGGAGATTGCTTTTGCGGCGCGGTTGCAAGCGCAACACCCGAAGGCCACGAAATGGAGCCGAACAGGCCGCTTCGGCTCGAATTTTGTCACCTGTGTGCTGAGTGGCGATGAGGAGGGTGCCATTGCAATCAGTGCTTACCAGGCGTCAGTAGCGGCCGTCGAGATGGTCCGCGCGGACATTGTTGAACCATCGGCAGAACCCTCTGTCATGCTGGTGCAATCCGAGGACGACGACACCGAAAATAAGTCGCGGTATATCCCCGAGGTCTTCTATCGCAAGATCAACGAGTACGGCATCAGCGCCCAGCAGAACGCGAAACCCAGCTTCCCCGTCGAGTACCTCCTGGTCACCTTGACACACGGTTTCCCTACGGACGCCTCCCCCCTATTCACCGACAGCAGCTTCCCCATCGAGAACCGGGAAGTCATCGGCGAGAGCCAGGAGCTCATCCACGTGGCGAAGAAGCTAGTAACCCACGGTGACCCGGACAAAGCAATCCGAGCCGTCTCGGACTTCCATATGCTGTGCTTCCTGCACTCCCTGTCGACATTCAACAAGGTAAACCCTCATCGCCTACATGACTTTCTTCCATTCAGGCGCAAACCGTCCTAACCAAACACACCCACCTTCTCACAGGACGAAGAAGCCCTACTATGCCGCGTCGCGACGCAACGTGCCCCCGCAGATGGCCTGCAGCTGATCAACACCTCTGGATGGGCTACCCTGGTGACCATTCTTCAGGAAAGTGGTGAGCGCCCCCCTAAGCGCCCCTGGCTGCCCACACCCGAGCCTTACCCGCCACGTTCAGTGCCCTACAACCCCGGAAAACGTTCCCTCCCCTCCACTACCTCTTCCTCCTCTCATCTCAGGCCCGAGTCTCCCAAATCTGAAAGTGAACGTCTTGCTAAGAGGTTTAAGGGAGCTAGTCTAGAATGAAATTCTTTTTTGACTAGTCCGATGACCGATTCCCAACCTATCCCAAATCTCCTTCCGTCTATCTCTATATCCTATCTCTTTCTGCCTGTCCATTACTATGTCACTCTGTGTCTCGGGCTCCATCTCAACCTCAACCTCAACCGCAAAACGTCTCAACCAGCACCATTCTATTTCGATCATCTCCTACTTCCAAGACATATACAATCGTTTGTCCGTGCCGCACACGCGTGTACCTAAAGCGGAGGACGAGCCGGAGAAAAGGGCATGGGAAATAATAAGGGAAGGAAGCAAGGAATGGAAATTGGGGAAACGGGGAAATGGGGGAAACCGGGATTATATTTACACAAAGTATAGCGTGGTACATCCAAGCCACATGAATATGAACTATACTCCCACTTATCAATACGTGGGATACTTACATTGACCTGCCTCTACTACTTTCATTATCATATGTCAATTCTATAATTCTCAGGGTAGTTGGGTTACTTGGGAATAGAACAATGACTGAGCTGAGTACGTATCATATGGTGAATATAGTACAGTATGGAAAAATCACAACATAATGTATCGTCAATTTCGTAAGATCGTGCAAGATTCCAAACACGGTTTGTAAGAGATAAAGTGACTAGATATGTGAAGAGATATGAATATCATAAGCCGAGGAAGGGGACAGGCAAACAGGAACACAATATGAAAAAGAATAAGAAAGAAAGGGATAAGAACAGAAGTGATATTAAAAGGAATACAATCCCTACTCATCCTTCTTAACCAACTCACCCAATCTCTTCTCAATAACCCTCCGCCCCTCCACATCGCGCCAAACCTCATGTGGCGCCCCCTTTACAATATCAAAGTTCTTGAGGTTCTTCGTGATTTTCGTCAACTCCTCCTGTCTCTTCGTCCACTTCTCACTCTTCCGGACCTCAATACCCGAGCTGATCACCACGAGTGGCGTATCCGCCATCTGGACGTGTCTGGCCGTCTGGATCTCCGAGGAGGTCATCGACTCAGCAACAAGATTCTCCTGTAATTTCGCCTTGACGATCTTCCCCGTTTGGTAGGAGCTGCGGCCGTAGACGCGGTCTTCGCGCGTGCGTCCCTTGAAGATGGCTCCGGCGATACGATCCAGTCCTAGCGGGGTGAAGATGCCGCGAAGCCAGAGGGTGAAGCCGCGGCCCGGGGAACCGATGTTACTGAGGTAGTCTTCGTGAAGGCTGTCGATCAGAACAATACCCGAGATCTCGAGCAGGTGGCGACTGGCGAAGATGCGGCTGTAGATGCCACCTACGCTGGCGGAGACGAGGATCCAGGGACCTTCTTCGCCGGCGAGAGCGAGGGCTTCGGATAGAGCATCTGCTGCCATGCCGGCGGAGAAGGGGGAGGGCGCGTTGTCGGACCAGCCGAAGCCGGGACGATCCCAGTAGCAGTAACGAGGGACGATGCCAGACTGGTATGCATCGTGGATGAAGGGCTGCAGGGTATGTTCGACGGGCCAGTCTCCGCCTTCGATGAGGATTGTCGGGGTGTCATTCTGAAGGCTGTGGGTAGCGTTACCGACGCAGTGGAGGTGGACTTGGTAGCTGTCGCCGTTGACGTAGTATTTCTTGCCGGGGGCGGGGAGAGATGCATCGCGGGCGCGAAGGATCAGGGTGGCGGTAAACAGGATGACAATGATAGCGAAAATGACCAGGAAGACGGTCTGAATGAGAACAGCGACCCATTCGCGCAGGGGACGACGGGTTTCCGGCCGCCCTGTCAGGCGCTCCTCTTCCTCCCGCTTACCCCATGCCACGGAGTGGTTCTGGACGATAGTATAGAGAGAGATGAAAGCTGCCCAGACTACCGATGCTACTCCCACCCAGCCTTCTTCAAGCCGGATGCGAGGGACGGCTAGAGTGAGGATCATGTCGATGAGGAGGAAGATGGCGATGATGATACCGGACACGGACATGGGTTTGGACGGGATAGCGAAGAACAGGAGTCCGAGCAGGAGGTACCCGGTTGTCAGGGTCGTGTAGGCGAAACTGAAGAATCCGGATCCGCGCGAGTGCATCATGGGTGGACTGACGAAGAGGGAGACGAGAAGGAAGGTCCACCAGATGAAGCTGATGGCGAGGAACAGGGAGGAGAGGCCTCGCAGGGCTCGGATGCCCCAGAGGTTGTAGGGAGAAACCTGGCGAGCCTGGTGTTAGCCATCTTGTAAGTGAAGGGAGGTGTTTCTATGCGAAGCTCACAGCAGGGTCATCAGGGCTCAGATAGGCCGGGGGCTCGCGCGGGAGCAGTCGTGTGCGCTCATCTGGCTCATCGTGTCGTCGCTCATCCTCTCGATCGCGCTGCTCACCGGTCCTGTCGGACTCGTCGCTTCGTCTAAATTTAAGGGACACCATTGTGCTTTTCTTCACCCTGGTGCGCTATGGAAAGATAGGTGCGGGGACAGATGGGTCAAGATAAGAAACGAAGGCGCGAATTCGATCGGGATGCCGATGGGGAGAGTCATGAGGCTAATGCTGACGTCACGGCATGGCAATTGCTGGACAGTGGAACCGGGAGGGCCCCAAAAGCACACAAGAAGGGGATCCATGATGGTTGCGAGCATCACTGGCTGGCATCTGGCTGGCGGCAATGCTCAGCCGTGACGTCACGGATGGCTTATGTCACCGTCATGGACACAATGTTCATCACCGCCATTTGCTGGTGCAGGATGGGAGAAGTCAATGGTAAGGATGAGGAGGTGAGACAATAGGAGGACAGGATTGGAATTGCAAGGCATAGGTGCATGTTGGAGAAGACAGTTCTCGTTGATGCATAGTAGCAGGAGAGACTTACAACAAGAGTAAGAACAAAGAAGAAAGCAGGAAGTACACAATTAGCGCGTCGATCCATCAGGCACACGCCTGGTCAGCTGACCTGCCGCACCGTGGGGAAACCCATCCTGGTGCATGCTTGCTCTATATTGTCTAGACCATAATTCAGAGGGTAATTGTGGATAGACAATTGATTGCACTCTATACAGACCCCAGTTGATAAGATCGAAGACCCACTGGGAGAAAGATCCCTGGAAAAACATGGTGATCTGCAATATACCATCAAGTATCATCAGTCAATACGATACGGTATGTACGGTATCAGCCACCTTGGTATGCAGCAAATCCATTCCTCCGTCAGCTTATCTTTCTATAAGACCTCTTATACTTCAGACACATTTACTACTGTGACAAAAAAACTCTATATCCAATCTACAGATCCTTCATCTGGACCATAGTGGTGCCAACAGCACACACGCCTATCATTCCCCTCCAGATCTACTCACCCGCCACTAAACATCCCCTCCATCAACCGCATGATCCACTCGCCAGCTCCAGCTCCCAACTCCCGACTCAAGCTTCTCTCCAATGTCAACATCCACACCTCCAAACCTAGAGCTGATCCTTTCCACAACCCCATCTACCTATCTACCCAGTAAAGCTGTGCAGCCTTCATGAGCGAGCTGCAAAAATCCTTTGCCAAGTCCAGACTGGCCAAGCTGCCTCTCCAACCGCCAACCGGGCCGTCCATGCAACCCCTCGACGAGGAGGTCAGTCACGACGATGACTCTTCCTCAACCTCGTCCACAGGGACGATAGTTCCCTCACCCAGCAGACAACTGTTTGCAAGGCCAGGACGCGGGTGCGTATGCCCTCACACCGCCGGCCCTCCTCCACAATTCACTATCTAGCGATCACCAAACTAACACACTTATCAGATCCGTCCAACAAACAACCCTTCCCTGGACAGACTACTTCACCCAGGAGCTCTATCTTACACAAATAGACACATCCAACAACACCAAGATTACTCACCATGTCTACCTCACACCACCAGCAGACTCCTCCAGTCCTCTCTTCGTCATGCACCACGGCGCCGGCTCATCCGGTCTATCATTCGCCGCATGCGCCGGGGAGATCCGCAAGATCATCCCCAAAGCCGGAATCTTGTCCATAGATGCCCGCGACCACGGCAGCACGGCAGTCACCCACGCCTCAGGCGAGGATGGGGACGAGGGCATCGAGCTAGATCTAAGCCTCGAGACGCTGAACCGGGACCTCGTATTCGTGGTCCGCGAAACCCAGACCCGAATGGGCTGGGAGAGCCTCCCCGATCTGGTCCTTGTCGGCCATAGTCTAGGTGGTGCGGTGATCACCGATGTAGCCAGACAGGGCGAGCTGGGAAGTAAAGTACTAGCATATGCAGTTTTGGATGTTGTAGAGGGTAAGCCAGCCTTCACCTCATCTCACCAAGCAAACTACAAGTAAAAGAAAATAAAATACTAACAGAAAGAAACAGGATCCGCCATGGACGCCCTCCAAAGCATGGAAACCTATCTCATGACCCGCCCTTCGCGCTTCCCATCCATCACTTCGGGAATAGAATGGCAGTAAGTGATCAACCAACCCCTTCCACACTCATCTACTTAACCAAACTGTAAAGCACCCGCTCCCGCACAATCCGCAACAAAACCTCCGCCCGCGTCTCCGTCCCCTCCCTCCTCTACGAAGACCCCAACTCACCTGACCCCACCAAACCCTGGATCTGGCGAACTAATCTCTCCGCCACGAAACCCTTCTGGGAGAACTGGTTCGTCGGTCTAAGTCGCAAGTTCCTCGATGCTCGTGGTGGGAAGTTACTCCTCCTAGCGGGGACGGATCGTCTTGATAAGGAGTTGATGATTGGGCAGATGCAGGGTGCGTATAACCCCGTTCCGTCCCTTCTATTTCTTTCATCTCCTTCGAATATGTGCTGTGTGGTGAATGCTAATATCGATATCTGCAGGTAAATACCAACTACAAGTCCTGCCGGAAGCAGGCCATTTCATTCAGGAAGATCAACCGGCCAAAACCGCGCAGATTTTGGTAGATTTTTATAAGAGGAATGACCGCAGTGCGTTGGTTTTGCCGCCTAAGGTGGCGGATTTGCAGGCTTCGGCGGCGATGAAGAAGGGGGCTGGGAGTGGTGCTGGTGCTGGTGCTGGTGTTGGGGGGCTGTTTAAGAAGATATAAATATAGTATACCATACTAGGTGTTGAATATAGGCTTAAGGTTATTCCATTCTGTAAACAGTGATGCACATAGGAAGAATGTGTTGTTTCATAATAAATGTATTGAGTATTTGAGATAAAGATGGTAACTAGTAGTAGGATCTTTCCATCCTAGATTAAATACAATGCCGCCACCAACACCAATGCCCACCGTCAATGCCCCCAAAGACGCCACATGCTACCGATTATCCTTCCCATGGATGTGGGATAAAAAGACAGGATATCGTATCAAACGAAGAACAGAAAGATGATATAGATCAGAGCGGAAAAGAAGAAAAGGAATAAGGGGTATCTGGCGCTGTTGCATACACGTCCCTCACTCAAGGAAGATAGGCGCCCCCGGCAATGATCAAATTCATATTCGTAAACTTCACCTTGTAGACCGGGCTCTTCTTCGTGGGAAAAGCGCTGATCTGGTCGGGCGTCACCACGACATCCTTGCCCTTCTTCTTGCCCATACCCGGAGCGACCGCACTTGAGGTTTGCGTAGTGCTGGGTGCTGGCTGGTTGCTGCCGTCGACCTTGGTGCCTGCGCCGCCCTCGCCGACGACACGGCCTTGAGAGGGGTCCTGAGCCGGGCCCGTGACATCCCACACGCGGACAGTGCCATCAGCACCACCGGAGACGAGGACTGTTGATTCGACGCTCCAGCTCAGGGACCAGATTCCGCCCTTTCCGTGACCGCGCATGCGCTTCAGCAGTCGGCCAGGAGCAAGGTCCCACAGTAGGATGGATCCTTGGTCATCTGCCGATGCGAGGAGCTTTCCATCGCGGCTGCATGCCAAAGCAGTGATGTTGCCAGTGTGTCCGGTGAACATGCGGACTGCATTTCCCGTGGTAACGGCCCACATGCGGACCGTGTGGTCGGAGCTACCGGTAAAGACGTACGCCGAGTTGGGGTGGAAGCAGATGCAGTCAACGTCTTGGTCGTGACCGACAAAGATACGCTGTTGGCGGATATGATCCGTAACCCACAGGCGGGCAGTCTTGTCGTGTCCGCCAGAAACGAAGTAATGGCCGTAGGGGCCCCACTGAAGGTCCCAAACCGGTTGGTCATGGCCCTTGTAGACCACCATGCACTGCCAAAGGTCTAAGGACCAGAGACGGATGGTCTTATCTGCAGACGACGAAAGCAGCCAGCGAGCGTTCGTCGGGGCGACGGCATTATCCGTCTTGGTAATCGATGGTGCAAATGCCACTGAATAGACCGGTCCGGAGTGTCCGATTAGACGACGGGAGTTCGAAGGTGGAGTATCATCCACGTTGTCGTAGGTCGATTGGATTTTCTTGCCATCCATGCTCCAGACCCGGATGTATGACTCTTGCATACCAGCTGCGACGAGCATAAGATCATCCGAAAAGTCCAAACAGTTGATTCTGTTGATTGTTAGTCAAGACCTAGTACCAATGAGACCATGTTACCTACCCATCATAAGTGTTGTGGAAGGTGAACATGCAGACGCTCACAGCGGGACCCACGCCACCAGTCCTGCCCTCAATCCTGAACCTGTCGCGGTTCTCCTTAACCTTCTGAATCTCTATAGCCACATCTCGAGCAGTTGACGGAGGATAGGGGATATCAGCACGAGTTGGAGCTTCTTCATCCTCTTCCTTCTTGATCATCTGGTCAAACTCTTGAATCAGAGTGTTTTGACCTGGGCCTGGAGGGTTCTTCGCATCCTCATCCGCCAGCTCGCCCCTAACATCTGTCTCGAGGGCTTGCTCCAGAGGGAGCTTTCCTAGCTTAAGCCTGGGCAGAGTTCCCGCCATGTTCGGGTTGTCTCCAGTGTATGCAGAGCCGGGATGGTGACCAGGAATGCCTTCATCTTCACTGGGAAATGTCTGACCATCTGTTTGGCCCAGCATCGCAGCGAAACTGAATCTATCGTCCGCGGTACGCTCTTTGGTGATAATAGTACAATAACTGCTTAGAATTGCAGTCATATCTGAGCCACCCTCTTTCTGCTTGCTTTCCAGGAATTGCATGAGGTTCGAAAAGGCTGGGTTGCTGAGAACCAAACGATACTTGTTTGTACGATATAGCTTGGCGGTCGAATTGGCTTGCACATGCTCTGGCAAGCTGATTGGCTCCAATGCGCGCACATCTTCTGTGTGCTCAGGCAAGAAGAGGTTCTTGTTCAGATCAAAGAACTGCTTGGCATCCTGCGGCTTGAAGGAAGACACCATGTTGATGAAGGTGTATACGAATAGCGGCCAGAGGACACGTCTCAGTTCAGGCTTTAGAACGTAAGTATGGATCCGATACATGTGAGAAGGATTCTGCTTCTTACCTTGTAAAGATCCAAGTTGTCTTCAACCCAAACCTTGAGCAAGTCTACGTACTGTTAGCACTGTTTCGTATCAACAAGACCGAAAAGGACTTACCAAAACCCATCCTGTACTTGGGTCGTGCATCTTCGCCAAGAGGGGGCATAGGAGGACGGCCATCGATTTCTTGATGTGCCGACTCAATACGTAGCATAGCCTCCGTACGACTATAACCCTTCTTCGCAAGATAATCGATGACCTGGAAAAAATTAGTACAGACGTTGACATACAATGTGACAGCATGATGCGCAGTAGTAGCAATATACGACCGACATGATGGACGGCAAGATTCGATGACAAAGAGTAAGCTCGGACAGCAAACGTAGGCATTCCCATACCCCCTCAGTGAGTGTAAAAGACAATCACAACTGACTTAGTTCATAACCATAACCAAGCCATGTGCGGAAAGCATACATCGGGGTAACACACCACCCTATCACACCGCAGTCCAGGCACAGGCACATGACGCAATGAAACATAGTACACCCCAATAACAAACATAGACATTTCAAGATAAACTAATGACTTACTATTTGATTCAGGTTCTGCTGCGACATCGGACCTCCGGGAGGCGGCGGCGGAGGCGCAGGAGGACCCGGAGTGACAGGCCCGGCGTTGGTCATGGGCTGCTGAGGAGGCATAGACATGCCACCACCGGGCCCCATGCTTCCACTTCGGGGAGCAGGGCTGGGGGCCCCGCCTGGCGCAGACATCGCGCTTGAACGATCAGTTACAGATTAAACTGTAGGCTCTGACGTAGGTATTGAGGAGCGAGCGGATGAGACGGGATTAATCGCGAGTCGCAAGTAACAGCAGGGTGACGGCAGGACGAGGCGCGCAAGTATTCACGGGAGGTTTTGAAGTTCTGATATCGCACTATCGCGCTTCGGGTCTAGCGCGTCGGGCCCCGGCTGAGGTAAGCAGAGTTCCCCGGGTTGGGTGGGCACGTGACGGAGCTTGTTGGTTGCAGGTCCAGATCGAGTAGTTACTCCATCGCCAATTCTACCTGTCACTTCTACTTGACTACTTCCTTCTGCTGGCAGCCTGGAACAAAAACAAATAAAAATCCAAGAACCAAACAAAATGACAGACGTCAAAGACACCCGCCAGCCAGACCAAGTCTTCACATCAGCGGATCGAATCCGGCAATTGAATGAAATAGACAAGGTAAGCCTAAGAGAAAAGAAATAGAGGCCCGGGATTATTCCCCGCGCGACACCACCGAAATGCAACTTTGCTAGCGATGGATACTCAACATCCCCGCTACTACATTATTCATATTGTGTCATTGATATCATTCCACCCTCACTAATCGCCGCAATTCACTACAGGATGTGGCCAAGCTAATTCATTCCGCGGGTCTCGCAATCCAAGCCCTGACCAATGCTCGGTCGGGCGAGTCACCTTCGGACAATTCTCTCGCATCCCACCAAGCCCGCTTCAAGGAGGCCACATCGCAATACTTCGCTCTCCTTTCGTCCATTGATGTTCGGCTCCGTCGTCAGGTGTATGCTCTGGAAGAGGCGTCTATTCTTGCGCCGGACACAGCGTCGAGAGCGGAGAATCTACCTGGTGCGAGCAGTGGTGGAGTAGCGGGCGCATCATCGAACCCGCTCGATGTCAGTTGGCTTAACAGTCGGAAGGATACGGTGGGCAAGGATAAGGAGGCAGAGCTGTGGGCTGCTGCGAGGGAGTTCGTGGAGCGGATTAGCAATCCGGCGTCTGTGAGCTCGGGAGCGAAGACAGAGGGTGAGCAGGAGAAGATGGAGGTTGATTAGACGCCATTGATGTTGGGATGATTTACGAAATTTTGATATGGCTTGGTCCTTGAATTGGCGAATATGGTGATTGCTCTACTATCTGGAGTTCGGTACCATATCTTGCCATGTGGTTGCAGGTGGAGCTAAGCGGACAGCCTGTCTATGATACCCATATTTATTGAATGTATTGCAATTGATTTTGCATTATGCAATGAAGATTTGCTCGCGAGAAAGGCTAGCCAGGCCATCACAGAAATTGGTACTTACAACGCACAATCACATAACGCCTGCAGTTCATCGTATACGAGTAATATTGGGATCCCCAGGAACCTTGAGCTCGAAGTACATACAACAAATGTAAATAATAACAGCCTCTAAAACGACGCTATAATGGCTTCCTTAACTGACAAACAGACAACTAGCTGTGCATAGACCGGATCATCTCCAGGTGGGTAGCCCGATCTCTGTTCGACTCGGACAAGGAAGGGAGACCTGTTCCGCGTATTAGCATGAAATTGCCCGCCAGCTGATTAGGCCTGCACTTACTCCGAAGTTCACCCACAACATCCTTAGCCTTGCCGAAGTATACCTCCTCTGTAAGAACAGTTCGATTAGCAATTAGCTCAGTAACGTAACAACACACGCTTCACGGCCGCACAAGGAAGACATACGCAGCAAGTTCCTCATCTTCAACTCCATGTCCTCAACAAGTCGACCAACATTGGCGACGTGGCTCGCATCCGACTCGACGGGCAGATCCACCTCCACCTGACGGGTCATGTTACCACTGAGGTCCATCTCACCCAAAGACTCGGATTCATTAGCCAAGTGCAGGATGACGGTGCTAGTCAGCTTGTAGTGGGACATGCGCGCTCTGTCGGTAGCCTCGAAGACGTGGATACTGTCCCATTCTCCTGAGCTCTTAGCACCTGGTGTAACTCCTATACAAAACAGGATGTTAGCTTGAAATGCCAGTCTGAAGTAACAAGACAGCACTCGCTCACCCTTCTTCAACAGTATAACACCGGCGAATCCATCGTCCAAGTCCCAAAAGTACACGCTGCCTACTCCACCCTCGTAGTACAGCTCACGGTAGACATCGAATGCCTCGTTGGCAGCGACCTCGAGCTTTCTCACTCGCTCACTGGGCACGGTTCCATCTTCCAGCGGGGGGTCGAATTCATTGCTCCAGGGCGACCGGTAGCTATCTCCGTCGCGGTTGTAGTCACAGAGGAGGTAGTCGCGGTCTGTCTTGGGGCACTTGCGGATCTCTAGGGGCTGATCGACAGAAGAGAGAAGATCTTCGGTCAGATCGGGGACGATGGAGGTGATTGCCTGGAGGTTTTGCTTCGTATCGCGGGGGTTGAGACGCCGGAGCAGGTCCCTGGAAGCAGGTATGATGGTCAGCGGGAGGCAGCAAGCGGGGTCGATGGCTTGGATCGGTCGCTTCCAGAGACTAGGCAGGCTTCATAGTTTTGAAGCAAAGCCAAATCTGCAGCACTTACAGCGCACTATCGAATTGAGCGTCAGCCATGATGATGATATGCTGAAATGTGTCTAATTGTGGTTGAGTCTGTCTACTGTTAAGGCACGGGTTCCGCCGTTCTCCCCAAGGCGATCCGCCGCCCCCTAGGTTATTTCCCCATCGGGAATGTGGTGGGGCTACTGCCACACCAGGCCGCCCTCCCCGCCTGCCTATCAAGGTAAGTTGGACTCTATCGCTGGCAGATTATCACCGCCTTTAGATCAGCTTACTATCATTAAGGCGCTCATCTATCCTTTACAGGAGTTAAGAAGCTGAGTGGGATTTTGAGAATATGGGCAAATAACACAAGTACTGCTTCAATACTATTGAAGATGAAGTTTGTGGCAATCCAAAGTTCCTTATGTCGACATAAGGCTTGAGACGTCAGCCACAAAGTTGTGTCACGTCACACCATCCACTCCCATAAGGTCATCTACGACTACGGAGTATGTCCATTGGGTCTTGGGTGTCTTGACGCTTGTAAAGCCAGTCTCTGTTACCAGAATTTTTGAGAGATGAGCAGGGGTAGGATAACAATTGGATGGGTTGACAGTATATCGGCAACCTCTCAGCTTGCACTCTCCGTAATGGGATCCGGAATCTCCCCCTTGATGATCTGACGTGGGACATCTACATGAAGCACGCCCTCCGAGTCCACAAACTCAGGTCGGGTGAACAGCCGAATCATATCTGGCATACCATCGTCGACGCTGTTAAACAGCTGGAAAGAATCCGCAAATGGCACACGCCACTTCCACCAGATATACTGGTCATCAACGTCCGCCTGACCGGGGATTTGAAACTGCTCTTCAGCATCTTCCAATGCCTGAGCCCAGTTGGCTTTAATCTTGCGGTACTGCAAAACCACGGTCGAGTCATGCGGGGATCGCTCGTCAAGCTTAGCTAGCCACCCTGGAGATAGTCCGCCGGCCTTGCCTGCAGCCTTGAGTTCGTCGATTCGATTTTGTGTGTAGAGGCGGAGAGCAGAATCAGGGGCGTTTTTGAAGCCTGTTGTGAAGTCTTGCACAGGTGGTTCGGTGCCCCATTCATCGAATTGTTCCTGGTCGGGGGTGCGGACCAGACAGAAGATACTTGGATCTTCGCTAGCGTCAGCGAATTCTGTCATGAATTGATTGATCGTCTGATTGTGACAGTAGAAGTCAGTTGTGCTTTGTAGTCTCTCAAGACGGAGCTTTCATACGCTTGCTGGCACGTCGGAGGTGCAGAATAGGAGAATGCTCGTCATGATTGCTAGGTGGCAGTGGTAAACCGAGATTGGTATTGAATGCGAATCCGAGTTGGTTGAAGCAAGGCTGAAGGTGTGGAAATGAGAGGAGGCTCTTATAGTCAGTATTAGGCTCATACATCCTGGTGTGGGTCCGCCCACCTTCCTGACCAACCTCGTACTTTGTCAAATCTATGAGATCGTCCTTTCGCCAAGACTCAAGGAAACAGATACCTTCTGGCTAATATTCTTTTGATATCTATTGTAATGAGACCACAATTGAAGAGTCGTTAAGCTCTATCTCTTTGCCTTTTGCCCATCCGCTGTCTCATCTATAGGCGCGAGAGTCATGTGCTGAGCGTGAGTGCCTGCTTATGTGCTCAGCTGACTGCAGAATGCAAAGAGCAGCCCAAAAATTCCTCGTTCTAACCGATTGACAACCTGGGATAGAAAGGGGAATAATCTGAGCATCCGCAGGTTGACTGACGATTAGTTAAGTGGTGGTGTCTGCGGGCTGCTCACCCCGCTCAGTGATTAGTAGGCTTCTTAGTGCCTGTGGCGGAGCGAGTCATCGCCCACTTCCAATGTAGGGCATATGCCGGGTTCTACTAATTCCCTCATTTTCGCCGAAAGGGCTGAGTTATTAGACTTTAGCCAGGGCCCAATATGCAGGGGCCAGTACTGGCAGTACTTGGAGTAATAATCTATTCCAATCTAGGATTGGAAACTATTAAACCACCCAAGTAAGCAGCCTCTTACCAACGGGCATCAGTCTGGTAATATTGATTTGGGACAGTTTAGTACTATCTAGCCATCTATATTCAACAGAACTATCAGATATTGAAGGCCGCTTAAGTCATTATGCCCTTGTTTCATTGAGCCAACCCATCTGGCAAATTATCATGTCCATACATTGTGCTTCGAATCTAGCATAGATATCCATGCTACAGCTCAATTCCAGCCTCATCCCATCACAGACCAGAATGTTAGATAAGCTGACTGCATATGTGCTTTCCCAACATCACAATTCCCCTGTCAATCATCAGACCCTGTAAGGCCTCCAGCAGGGTCTCCGCCCCCCAAAGCACCACAGATCCCTGTCTTCATCTCCCCTATGCGTCAATGAAGACTCGTTCTGAGATAACATGTTCCACCCTCAACCGTCCAAGCAGCAACCACATCCCAGTCAACCATGAAGCTTCTCGCTAGGCCCCAAATAAGGCCTCCCAAGATAGACAAAACCACAGTAGTATAGCCTCAATACCATCCCCTGAGCAGCATCCAGAACACGATATAAAAGATATCAAGTGAACGAGCAACAATGCACTTCAACACAAGCACTCAAAGCCCTATTCCCCTAAACCACCAAACACACCCTATTCAAAATGATCCTCTCATCAACCCTCCTCCCCATCTTCACCATACTCCTCTCCCTCCCAAACACCCTCGCCCACCCAACCACCGACGACCTCTCCCTCCAGCTCCACCCACGCTCCAACCCAGGCGACAGCAAATCCAACCCCATCAAAGCCGAGATCGAAATCCGCGGCGAAGATGCCCTCACCTACGACGTAGATTGTTGGGCGATGCTCTGCAAGGGCAAGTCCGCAGTGATGTATGCCTTCTCCCTCACCCAAATCCATCTCAGCCCCTTTCCCCAGACAAACAACCAAACCAACAACAACAGCAACAACAACCAGCTAACAGTGAAAACAAAACCACAGGCAAAAAGTCGACACCGACGCCGCCGACGTAAACCGTCAAGTCGAAGCCGGCAGCGCCGCCAACAAGCAACCCTTCAAAGACCCCGCCAAGTACGGGATGAAAGCGTCTCCGGCTACAAATGCCTGGGGGGATCATAAGGGATGGGTATCGGCGGAGGAGTTTCCGTTTGCTTCGACGAAGGAGGGGGGGAAGGAGTACGTTTATACCTATTTCTACTCTTTCACATTCATAATCAATTAGCAAGCTAACAATATGTTATTACCGCGATATAGCGCCATCCTCGTAGGCGTGACCATCAACTCGCAGGACGAACAGAAGCGGTCGCTTCGGAGCTTCTACCAGAAGAATAAGGTCAAGTCATACGATGCTAAGAATAAGAAGTCGGATGCTAGTTGGTTTGAGATTACGGGGTTTAAGGTCAAGAGTGGGAAGAATGCGAAGGTTGGGTATGTATCCTTGTTCTCTGCATCTTGAGAGTAAAATGATGCTGACGCTGGACAGGCCATACTGCCAGGCTTTCACCGATAAGAAGCCTGGGAATGTGTGTAGTGCGAATACCAAGGTTACTGGAGACTGGGGGTTCGATGTGGCTGAGTATGCGTATGTTTATAACCATTCGACGAAGAAGTTTGATTATGTGGGTAAGTGAAGTGCCAGGTTGATGCTTCGCTTGATCGGCTGGTGATGGAGATGGATGCATGATGGTACTGTGACTGAGATGAGTTGTTTTGGGGGTTTGATATATGTGCAGTATGGGGTGGAGATCTATAGGTTTCTGCTTTGTGTATGACTACTACTATGTGTGTTGAGTTGTTTGTTCTTTCGGTCTAGACTAGATGTTAGGATTGACGGAGTTACGGGGCGCTTGTTCAAATATAAATTTACACATGATGATAGTATACTTATAGGTATTAGAGATTGAACAACCGAACTGAATTCCCGAGTCTGGTCTCTGCTACTTGCTGTCCGTCCAGTCTTGAATAGCTTATGGTGTTCGAGAAAAAGCCTACGTGCAGGTATCTGGGATGGCATCAAGAAATAACTCCACCGTACTCTTCTAAGTATATTGCTCAAGGGTATATGCAACCGAAAGTATCACCAATGCAGAATGTAACCAAGCTATGCGTTCATGTCCAAATCAGTCATCGCTATCATCCAGAACAAACCGGCCCCGTTTCGGGGGCCTTTCCACACTCCTATCCAAAAGAGTAGAGACATCTGGAAGATCAAAATCATCTTCTGTATCTCCGTCTTGGGTCCTTTGCGAGCAATAGAACGGTTCCACTTCAGCGTTGGTCGCTGATACCGAACGTTTGGGTGGTGGGGTTCGTTCTACTTCAGACACATCTCGCTCTACATGATTCTTTGGCTTGGATGATGACACCTTGGATGTACGCCTAGGTGCGGTTTTCGAATAAACCTCCCCATGACCATTGGCCTTCGGCGCTACTATCGAGGCCTCCGGCCTGGAGGCCGCCTCACGTGCTATGATTTCCTTGTAACGATCCCCATAGTTTGGAGTAATCTGGTCCATCCTTTGCAACGTTTGAATCATGCGACGAGTCAATGACCCGTGTCTAACAGCTTTCGTAGGTCTAGGTGCGAGCTGAAGGCGTGGGAAGGCGTCGCTTCTGGGATAACTGACCAGAAGCTCTTCACTGGGCCCAGCGTTGCTGTAGAGGAGTTCAAGTTCTTTTTGCTGCGCGGGGGTAAGCAGAACATCTTCAAGCGCCGGCAATTCTACGGGCTCTGGAGTCGGCGTGCGAGCCTTACTTTTGTTTGGTGCTTTGCGCTTAGAGGTCCCGGCCAAGTTCGATGCTGTAGTAAATCCAGTCTCGACATTATCAGGCATATGGAACTTCTTTGGCGGCCTCTTCGGTGCCCGGCCTCGCCGCTTCGGCTCTGGAAGATCTCGCACAGTATTCTCCTCGGGAATTTCAATCGCTCGTTTATCAGCAACAGGCCGCACACCCGGAGGCAGAATCCGCGGAGACATATCATCGTGGAAAGTGAACCGGGTGCCACTCGCTATCATTTGCTGCATCTTTTCGTAATTGTCCTTAGCCTTTATGTAAGACTCCTCTTCCTTGCCTTGCATGAGTAAGAGCGTGATCTTTCCTGCCCTCTTTCGACCGGTACGTCCCATGCGCTGGAGCATACGAATAGGTGAAGCTGAAGAGTCGTAACACACGATAAGGTCCACTTCACCGATATCCAGACCTTCCTCACCGATGGAAGTCGCAACAATCGTGTTGTAGGTCCCCTTCTTGAACTTCTGCACAATGTCGAGTTGCGTTTTCTGTCCCATTCCTTCCGAGCCCTTGGCGCTACTCTGCCCGACGAAGACATGGGGCCGAATCATGGGCTCGTATCTTTTGAGTACTCTCGTGACCTCTTCTGCGCTATCACGGAAGTGTACGAAAATCATCACGCGAGTGGCTGGTTGATCCTTGTTTGCATCTGCACCAGAGCCTTCACCAGCATCCATGAAATGATTCAACACCACCTGCTTCAGATACTCCAATTTGGGGTGTCCAATAAACTCTGGATTCTTTGTCCACGGCTGCAGGTGGTTCATGAGCTTCTTGTAGCTCTCGTCCTGAACGACTTGCCGCTGGTACTTGCCGCCCTTTTGTCCCTCGGTGTTGGATTGGAAGTGCAAGAGATGACGATAAAAAGGTGTTATCCCATGGTACTTAAGAAGATCGATACCATGAGCCAAGCTGGCTAAAACAGTGAAGATTGCATTCATTTTGGCCTTCACTCCGAAATGGGCGTTTCTGCCGGAATCGGATAGCATCCATTGTTGTCTGGCTTTGGTGAGTCCGTATGCTGTGAGGCCCATGGGGTCACGCCCCCAATAGGCATTCGTACTCCGTAATTGATCAAGAAGTGGCTGTAGAGCTTTTGACATCAGGTCCATGCAAAGGACCATTTCCTCCGAGTTCTGGAATGTCTGCACATCCGTGTCTTTCGAGTGAACATACTCTCTAATATCAAGTGACTGCTCCGTCCGAATCTCGACTCTCGATATATCCAGCCCATCAATGACCGCCTGTACAGATTCCACCGTTGAGCCTGGCGTAGCTGTCAAAGCCAGGACACGGAAGCTCTGGTTGTACCGCCGCAGGAACTTGACAACTTCAACATATGCATAACCACCAGTTGCACGATGGGCTTCATCGACGACGACCAGAACGATACGCTTCGGGTCAGCAATCCCGGTTTTAAGGTCGTTGATCAAAGTTTGAGGCGTCATGAAGAATACGCGTTTTGCCTTCCATTCTTCAGCTCGGATTCCTGGTGCAGCCTCTCCCGTGAGCATAGTGGTCTGGGATCTAG